GAGAAGGGTGGGACGATGCAGACCAGAGAGCCCCTGACGGACTGCAACCTGCTCATAAAAGCAGCCACAATACATGTAAGTGGTCTAACTCCCCCGAGGGAAAGGCAGTTTTTCAGAAACACAAAGAGCCAAACACCCATCGAGGAAAGCTAACCAACATGGAGCTGGAGTGGTCCTGTTAATATCAGACAACGTAGATTTCAGAGCGAAGACTGTCACCAAAGGTAAAGAGGGTTTTTCATAATGATTAAAGTGTCAGTTCATCGAGAACACATAACAATCCTGAATGTTTACACACCTTGTAACAGCTTCAAAATACTTGAAATAAACACTGAGAGGAGGCAAGCTGCGAACTGGAAGGAAATACTGTATTTTGCCATGCAAATGCGCACCCACATTTTTGTGTGTATTATACAGGGATTATTATACCTATTACTTCACCCATGGTATGTAATCATTACGCCCATGTATAATGTGCATCCTTATTTTTCCCTCAAAAATTTGGGCAAAAAAAAGTGCATATTATACACAGCAAAATACAGTATTCGCAACACATAGAATATGTTTCTAGAACCCAAAGAACTCCTAGTAATCAAGAAAAAGCTAAATAACCTACAGACAAAATATATGACCATTTATTTTATGGCAAAAGAAACGCAGATGTCCATAAACATATAAAAAGATGCTCGGCTGCATCAGTAAAAAGGGAAGTGCAAATTAAAAGCAAATTAAATATTATGTTATTCTCACCAGGTTAGCAAAAACAATCACAAGTCTGACGATATAAGAATGAGTGAGGATAAGAAGCAATAGGGACTCTACCGCTGGTAGAAATGCAAATAGACACAAGCTTTTTGGAAAACAATTTGGACTATTAGTTTGCTAGGGTTGTTGCAGCGAAGTGCCGCCAACTGGGGGGCTTCAACAGTAGGGATTTATGGGTTCACAGTTCCGAAGGCCAGGGTTCCTTCTGAGGCCTGGGAGGGAGGCAAGTTCCAGGCCTCTCTGCCAGCGTCTGGCTGCCCCAGGTGTTCCTGGCCTTGTAGATGGCACTCACTGTGTCTTCATATTGCCTTCTTTCCACTCTTGTCTGTCTCTGTTCAAATTTCCCCTTTTTATAAGAACACCAGTCACACTGAGTCAGGGCTCACCCTATCGACCTCAGCTCAACTCCATCATCGGCAAAGACCCTGTTTCCAGGTAAATTCACATGGAAGATACTGGGGCTTAGGGCTTCAACATCCCGATTCGACCTATAGCACCTGGTTACATGGGAAGACGCTCATAGCTTTCTGCGGAGCCGTTGCCTCCCAGGCACTAGCCAGAGAACTGACAGGTTGCACGGGCACATACACACCACCCGAAAGTGTATCAGCAGGAGAACATTTAGATAAAAGTGAATTTAAAAAAAGGGCACACAGCAGTGGAAATTAATAAATTACAGCTACACACATCAGCCTGAAGAAATCTCAAAGACATAATATGGAAAAAAAGCAGGCCACAGGAAAACCCATCTAGTTTAACTACAACTACGCAGTACAGATCCGAGTGGTCAGTTCTCTCACCTCCTTCAAGCCTTCGCTCAAACGTCATTTTCTCAGAAAGGTCACTCCACCACCCTTCCGTGTGTTGTAAATGCCCCCCCCACACCTACACTTCCATTCTTCTCTGCTCTACATTTCCTTTTCCTACAGCACTCACCGACATCTAACAAATTATATAATTATCTTACTCATGTGTCTAGTTGTTATTGCCATCCTCCTCCTTCCAGAATGTCAGATCCACAAGGGCAGAATCTCTTTTTTTCTTTTATTTATTGAGGTCGACAAAGTACCTACAATAGTAGTAACCCTACAAAGTAGGCACTGAACAAAGATTTCTCCAACTGAGTGGCCGGGTGCGCGGATGTTCATTGATGGTTATGTTAAAACCGTGTATACTCATTATGCCCCGTCTGCTGTATACATGATGTCTTGTAAATGTCTTTGAAGAAAGCAGATGTATCTCTTGCCAGACCTGAGTGTTGAGCCGAGATACAGACCCTACAGGGTCGATGCCACACCCTTAAACACAGGAAGGAAGTCAGGGTTTGGCTACATGACCCCCCGAGGGACATGGGCTCTTCTTGTGTGTGATAATGAGTGAATGTCAATTTACCTACAAGATGCAGTCTTCCGGGTTCGATTTTTGCTTGAGCAGGGTTTTAAAATGTGCTTGTGAATATTTGCACTGACAACTGCGGAAAGAAGTAAAACCACCAGGTAAATTTGCCCTGTGCTTTCCTGAGAAAACAATGAGAAGCCAGTAAGTAGCCTGTCAAGGCCGAAGTCACATAACCAAACATGCACAGTCCTGGCCTTGACAAGCTTCCTTATTGCCTGGGAACACTCAGCGGCAATCACATGGCTTGTCTGTGACCACCCAACCCCGGCAGGGTCAACTGCCCGCTCTGGGAGCCTTCAATGTCTGCATTGGCACAGGCTGCAGGAGAACGTGGTTCTTCCCTTTCAAAATTCCTTTTTGACTGTTTTGTGTCCCTTGAACTTACAAATAATTTGGGGATTGGCTCACTGGTTTCTTCCAAAAAGTCAGGTGGGATTTCAATAGGGATGGTGTGAAATATGCAGATCAATTTGGAGAGTATGGCCATTGTTCTCAAGTGCCTGGCTTCATTTTTTGACCATTCAGCCTCATGCCTCCTGACCCCCTTGGCTCCCATGTGGAGACATCATCTCTCACCTGGACCAGGAGAGCAGCAGCCTCTCCCCCTCCCCCCCTTCTGCTTGTAATCCCTTTCCTGTTCATCCTCCCTCAGTCAGGCACATAGGCTCCTTAACATACAAATCCGATTACTACACTCCCTTGCTTAAAGCCTCCAGATTCCCCTCTCACTGTGAATGAGATTTGGGCTCAGCCCCTTCCTCTGACCCTGGCTCTCCACCCCACCTTCTTGCTTGGTGTCTGCAAACATGCCGGCTGCTGCTTCTGAGTTCCAAGCTCAGAGCCACCTGGGGCCTTCACGCTAGCTGTTCTCTCTGCCTGTGAAGCTCTCCCCAAGGTCAGCTCCCTCCTCCCTAGCAGGGCCCAGCTCAAACATGACCCAGGAAGTAGTTTCCCAGTTACTCCCCGGCACGTCACCCATATTTTTCTGGTTTATATTTCCTTGCCTTCTAGCCACACTCCTCACTGGAATTCATTCCCTTTTAAAAGAATAACCCGACTGTCTCATCCTATCTCCAGTGCCTAAAATAGTGCCCGACGCACAATAGGGGCCCAAAGCACTTGTTCTGAGTGAATAGGATGCATGGTGACACCTGCGTGGACCAGGAAGCCCCCTCCCAGACCTTGCCCACGAGGAGAGTGGGAGCACCCTGCGGGCAGGAGGGTCCTGGTCTGCCTTTGCCACCAGCAGAGACCTGGCTCTAGGTTGCCTTCAACTTAGTTGCATTTTATCATGTTTCAGTTCATTCATCATTGATTATCCAGCTATGGTTTCCATGACAACCCTCAGCCAACCGGCATATCTCATCCTCCAGAGCATGCTCTACTCTACCCTTCTTGGAGCACCTAGTTCACTGTCAAGGTATCTTCCAGCCTTGAGCAAAGGGTAAGGTCTTGGGCGAGGAAGCCGGGGCCCTGGGTCTCCCGCAGGCGGGAGGCTCTGGGCTTCAGGACCTCACTTCGTTTCAGGGATGAGTCTAGTTTCTGCTGTCCCGTCAGGGAGGCCTAATCGGGCAAGGGGACCAGCGTGCAGCCACCACAGGGATGGCTTCTTCCATCCTCCCACATCTGGGGTCGGCAGGAAGCAGTGGTCCACTGTGGGCCTGTGCTCTGGGGTCAGAGCTTCTCCAGTTGCAGCGAGGAAGTTACCTGGCCCAGCAGGGGTTCCAAAGCCCCACTGAGGCAGAGGTGTGCCCCCCCCCCCCCAGGAAGGGGCGGCAGAGATAAGCAAACCCTCAGATCTTCTGGGGGGAGATCTGAGCAGCTGGATGTTTCCGTCACAACAGAGATTCACAGCAAACTGCTCTTTACTTGGTCTTGGCCCTTCGGATTCCAAAAGCCCCAGGCAGGGGCTCTGGCCTCTTTCGGGTTCTGGCCTGAACACTAACGACAGTCAGTTCCTGCCTCGTTATAAGGCACGGGGTTGAGAACGGACTTCCGGAACCTCGGTGACCCACCCATCTGGGTTTTAGAGGTTACAGCTTCCACTGTGGCCTCGCCATCAAGTGCCCCAGCACACAGTGTCACCTGTACCCACAACTGGGCTCCGATTCCTCAGAGGAAGAGACACTTGGACATTGCTACTTGGGAAGGGGACAACTAAACTCTATTGTGCAGCTGTGAGACAGAGGAAAGACACAAAAATGGGAGGTGTTTGTGGGGACGGAGAGACGACCAAGGCACATGCCTGGGCCAGGTGGACTCCCAGATGGCCGTGGGAAGAAGTGACACCAGGCCCCTCTGAGCCAAACCAGGAGGCAGGGTGGGTGGGAGTGGGCAGTGGACGGGGCGGGGCCTTCAGCACCCCAGACTGGCTGTGAGGCGGCTCTGCCCTGCACAGCCGCGTGGCACAACTGTCACTAACTGTCCAAGTATTCCCGTGACAGGGGCCGCAGTGGGCTGTTAGGAGGGTTAAGTGGGAGATACAGCCGAGCGCACACGGAGTGGATGCTGAACAGGCATCAGGCCCGGGGCCGGGAGCTGAGGGTTGTCCAGCTAGGCTGCGCTCCTGGAGAAGACAGGTCGGGGTTGGGGACAGGGAAGCTGGGCCCCTGCAGGGCCACCACAGCCTGAGCCTGCAGGTGAGGAGGGAAGGGCACCGCAGGCTCCCACAAGCCCACCAGCCTCGGGCCCCAGGGGTACCCAGCACAGCCAGGCCCCGGCAGACCAGAGCAGCCCCCATTCTGCCTGGGTGGGGGGTGCGCAGAACACCGCCGCTCCCCACCCTCAACCCCGGACACAAAGGAAACAAACGCCGAGCTTCTTCCAGCGCTCTTTAATCAGAATGCCAGCCTCAGAGGAGGTCCTGGCTGTCACGGTGTCGGATGGGCATGTCAGCGTGTCCTGCAAATGGAACTGCCACAGGTTTGCACCTCAAACATGTATGAAAAATAAAATATATAATATTTAGCTTTACAAATTTCCCCACTCGATCACTTTAAAAGAATCACTGCTATGGCTGTCCGATACATTAAGCAGCCCGCAGTCACCAAGCAAGTATCGGCCCGATGACACCCACTTCCTGCGCCAGTTCTGGGGGAAATGCTTGGGACAGTCAGATGCTCACGGGAACCAACGAGAATTAAAACCAGCAAACCCCGCACAGTGAGGTGAGACATCAAACACGGGAGCCTGCGAATGGCTGTTCTCTTCTGCTGGGAAAAAGAAATTCCCCAAACCAGACGGAGAGGCGGTCGGTAAAAGCTGCAATGGAAATTTTGGCACCAGTGGAGAAGAGAGGCCTTTTGAAGCCGCACTCTGTGACAAAGCATTGGTCTGACGGAGGTGACAGAGGGGAAGGGGCGGCCGCCACAGACCTTCTCCATTCGGGGTCCCCCTCCCAGCGCCCTCTTTGGGGCCACAGCGGCCCCTCCACCTCGGAGCAGGCAGGGCACTGTCTGGGCGGCCTGCCCTCCTCGAGCTTTTGAGTTCCTCGGAGGAAAGAACCGTGGGGGCGGGGTTGGGGGGCAGCAGCCACTTTGCTACGAGCTCCGTGGGCAGCAGGAAATACTCAACGCACAAGGGACATGGCCACTCCCGAGGGACGGCTGCACAGGCTGTAGAGGGGACGGACGGAAGGCACACACGACACACCAAGGATCCGAGGGGCAGGCAGGCTGGGGTGCACTAGCATTTACAGGGGTTCTGAGCAGGGCCTGAAGGTCTATAATCCCCGCAGCAGGAGGTCAGATAGTGGGACCCCGGCGGCTCAGGGCTTTTCCCCAGGGATTCTGGCCCTACCCCCCAAACGACCAGACCTCGGTGGGGGACGAATAAGCCGGTCACATAGGCTGCCACAGAGCCTCAGTCTTGGGGGGCCCCAGCCCTTGGGAGGGAGGTTTATACACAGTTAGCTGAGGGGGTGAGCAGAGCCCCGCCTCCTGGGCACAGGGCAGGGCGGCTACAAGTCAAGGAGGCGCTCCTCGCAGGTCTCCACGGGCCACTTGGAGGCCCCTCCAAACACGTCGACATTGTTGTCCACCCACGGGATGATGTTGCCCGGCATGTTGGTGGAGCAGTTGGCGATGTTGACTATCTCTTGGGCACGGAGGACGCGGTCCCATATGTTGAACTGGCTGAGCTCTCCCACAAACGCCTGTGTAGCATCAAACCTGCCCCCGATGGTGTCCTGGGGAGGGTGCAGAATCACGTCAGTGCAGGCACAGAAGCTAATCCTCTTGGCCTGTGACCAGCTTCGGGGAGAAGACATCAGCTTGGAGAAAGAGCGGGTGGGGCAGGGGGGATGGGGGCATTTTCCTGACACCCCCGGCTCTGGCCTCGGGGATGTCTTGGCTCCAAGCACCCGGTTTACAGAGCGGAAACCTAGGCTAGCCCAGGGAGACGCCTGCCCAAAGTCCCAAAGCTGGGACTAGACCTGCATCTCCAGGCTTCCAGCCCCTCCCGGGGGAGAGGTGACAAGGAAGCGGGGAGGGCACGGGCCAAGGAAGAGCCCAGATTCAGCCCCCAAAAATCCTGGAGTCTGTTCCCTCACTCTCCATCAGCAAACCTCCAACAGGCTTGAGATGTCAGCTCTCACCTGCCTGAGAGCGGGTGGCAAGCTGCGATTCCCCCCTTCAGGGGGCTGCCCCAGGGCCTCGCTCTTTCCTCCCACATCCCCCAGAGGCTGAGCACCCCACAGGTATTCCCTAAGTACCCCCAAGCCCTGCACCAGCAGCTCCAGGAAGAGGCCATACCAGCCCCTGGCGTCCTGAGTCAGCACTGCCTGGCAGAGAGGAACCCGGCAGGGACACGACCCATCACTCCAGGGGCACTCCCGGTTACCTGTGTTGCACTTGAACCCGGAAACTATCTGAACACACCACACCAGCCTGGTGCCCACCCTCAGCCCCTAAGGCACCAGATGGGGGCGCTGGCAGGGACCTTGCCCATCTAGGCCGGCAGTCATGCCACCACGGTCACCTCTAACAGGCAGATGGCTGGGTGGGACGAGGGGGCAGCCTGCGGGCATGGCCGGCCTGCGCGCTCCCGTCCTTCAGGCCCCTGCACCCACCTGCTCCTGCCCGAGGATCAGCACGCCTCCCGGCTTGATGGGGTGCCAGGGGGCCAGGTTCTCCCCGGTGCCGAGCTTCTCCCCGTCCTGGAAGGCCTCCCACATGCCGTCCCGTGTTGTCCAGGTGACACAGATGTGGTGCCACTTGCCATCGCTGACAAACAGGGGGAGCTGGGCAACCTGCAGGTGGCAACGGGCAGGTGAGGCCCCTGGTGGGTTTCCCAGGGGTCTGACCTGGGGGGACGGAAGGACCTGAGCCCACTGCTGCTCCCAGCACATGGGTCCCTCCTGGGCTCCCCTTCTTTGCTCTGTTGGTGACATGCCTGGCCCATCCACCTCAGAGAGACCCTGAGGCTGGAGATGCCATGTGCCATCAGACACTTGAGAGAAAGGGGCTGTCTGGGCACAAGCCCCAGACCCCAGCGTGGCCCTGTGCTCAGCTGGACACTCTTGGCCCTGGCTTGGCTGAGGGTCCTAGATACTGTCCTGAACAAGCAGGTGTGACAGGCAGCCCCCTACACTGTCCCTGAACACCCCCTGCTGGAGAGCCCAAAGGGCAGTCGGACCAGGCACCCACACCCAGTAGGCAAGGCCCCAGAGTCCATTGTGGCACTCACAGACCGTGTGGGTGCCCTGCCGTGCAGAGGACCGGAGACCTGCAGTCACATGGGTGTGTGAGAGCTGCACAGAGCTGGGGGAAGGCGTTTCCAACCCGAATCCATCTACCAAACCCCTGCGGGTGCTCCACGGGCCAGCTCGACTGCACACCAGTCTGTTGTTACCGCTGGTGTCCTAGCAACCCCACGCGCCAACTCCCAGGAATCGGCTGTTTACAGGACGTCTAATCACCTAATCGGAGACAAAACAAGATTCTCGGCCCTCAGGGCAGGGTCCAAGGGTGTTATTTAGAAGCATTAGCCCCAGCTTAGGGGCTCAGGGACGTGGTCACTGCCAGAAGGAGCCCGGAAAGCGGATTTCGAAGCGTTTCCCACTTAAGCGAACTCTATGCAGGGTAGTTCAGTAAAGACAGAGTGAGGGGCCAGGGCGCAGAGGGCTCCTGGGCTTGGCAGCCGTTCAAATGCTCAGCCCTGGCAAGGAGGGCATGAGTCTCAGCGGGGCTGCTGGGGGTCCCACAGATACCCAGGCCCTTTCTCCTGGGGAGACCTCGCTCCTGAAAACCAGCCAGTCTGTTGAAAGGGTGCATTTACTCTGTGAAAAGCAAGGCTGCAGGGGCGGGGGGCAGATCAGTGGTTGCCATGGGCTGGGGCAGAAGGAGGGGCTGACTATGAAGGGAAATGAGAAAATCTGGGAGGTGATGGAATTCTATCTCCTAATGGTAGTGATGGACACACCACTGCCTGCGTTTGTCAAAACGGGTCAAACCACACAGTAAGAAAGGGTAAACCTTACTGTTTTGCTGTATGTGAATTATACCTCAGTAATCAGCCCCCTCCAAAAAGATACACCCATGAGAAGTATCACACCAACACACACACACATACATACACACCGCCCTCTAATCAGTGCAGCCCCGGAAAGCAGCCCTCATGGGCTGGCCTAAGGGCCCGAGACAATTCAGGCTGGTGTACAGACATCCCAGCTCATTCTGTTCCTTCCATGGCCTATGGTCTGGATTCATAGCTTGGGTCTCCATGAGCTGCAGCTGCCTGGCCCCCACCCCGGGTCCCTTCCCCTTGCCCAGTCTGTTGTCCAGAGCGGGACTAAGTCAGCAGAGTCGTCCCCACAACAAGGACAGCCTGCAGCCTGCTGACGGACTCCCTGCAAATTCCTGACCTTTGTTGCTACCAAGATGGGGAAGGTGGCGTCCAAGGCGGCCTCACCTTGTCATTGATGAGCAGCTCGATGGGGTTGTTACCCCACTCTATCAGCACTATCTCGTTGGCCTGCCCGGGCACCGCGTAAGAGAACGGAGTGCCGATGCCGGGAGAGGCGCTGGATCGCAGCCACAGGCAGATGGTGAAGGCATACAGTTCAGGCAGTGTCTTCTTGATCTTGCCATACAGGTAGTTTGTGCGGAGTGGGAGGGACACTTTGAACGCATCGGGTGACTTGAACGCACTGTTGCCTGGGGGAAGAGGAGAGGCCAGCAGCACGTCAGTCTATTGCCACCACCAAGGCCCAGCGCCACAGTTCACCTGGGTCCCCGCTGCACCCCGGGCGGGGGGTCCTTCCATCACTGGAACACCTGGACCAGGCAGCCACTGTCCAAAGTGCTGAAGCCCCAACAGCAAATGAGAGCGGCCTCATTTTTCAAAGCTCAAAGAAGCAGGGAGAGAAAAGCTGGACTTAGTTTTCTGCTTGAATTAAGCCAGAAAACCCTTCCTTGCCCAAGTCTTGTTATGTCCTTGAACTCTTGGGCCCTTCAGATGCTACAGCAAGGGCAGGCGGGGTCAGGAACCCACTGGATGGACGAGAAGGCAGGATGAATCACAGGGTCCCAGGCACTCCACAGACACTTGTCAAGCAGTCGGCCCATGCCACCTCTGGAAGTTGACACTACGACTGAACCCAGAAGTGACCTTTGGGCTAAACCCCTGACCGAACTCATGCGTTGGTTCGTAACTTGCTCTTTTCTCTCCAAGGCGAAGTGGCATTTATGGACCATTCCTGCAGTTTGGGACCAGTGGGAGGCAGAGGAATGCAGAGGTGTCCCCACCCCACGGCAGAGAGCAACCCGGCCAGAACCTCGATCCTTCCAGACCCACCTGGGACTGGCGAGAACCCCCCTGGCTGTCCCCATGCTAATTGGTGCTTCCAAGGGCTTTGAAAACGGTTGGTACTCTTAAATGGGTCTAAGCAATGATCACTACAGTTAAGACTTAAGCTCAAAATTAATAAGGAAGATAAACACACAGAAGGTATGGTTCTGTCTCCAGTTATCAGATTCAGAAATCTGCAGGGTTCCCACCTGATTCTGTGAGCTGTCATGGCAAAAGCTTCCCTCTACGTTGGGGACCAGATGCTGCCAATGAAGGAGCCTAAATGTCCTCATTCAACAGGTATTTATCAGGCACCATGAGCAGCCAGATGGTCTCCATTGCCATCAAAGACAGGCAGGCTCTCGGGACCCAGAACGGAACCGCCTGTGTCCCTGGCAGACTGAATCAGTCCCTTCCTCACTCCGTCTGCGGAACAAAGCCCGCATGAACCGCCTTTCTCTGCCATGGCCCCCACACTCATTTTCTGCCATAGCAAAGAATTCACAAGGAAGCTCTTTGGTGCCACAGCTCACACCTCTCCGAGGATGACCTTCTGCAAAGGAAAGCAGCAGGGCCCAGGGTCACCCTACCAACCTCTTGGGAACGGGCAGCATAGAAAGAAAGACTAGCATCCGGGCTCCACGTGTCGTATTTACTCCTCTCCGCTGATCGTATAGTCTCACGTGACCTGTCCTAACCTCCCACAGCAGGGCACCCTCAACACCAGGTTGCAGAGCTGCTGAGCACCTGCTGAGGACTGGGAAGACCTGGTCACCTCGGGGAGCCAAGGGCAGGGCCAGGCCAGGAGAGAAGGCTCCCCACATTAGGCTGAAGCAAAATCCAGAACCAGAAAGCCCCGACTCCTGCCTTTACAGGTGAACAGCTGAGGCACGGCAGGCTTGGAGAAGGGAGGTGACTTCCCCTGAGGCACCCAGCTAATGAATGACAGAGCTGGGAGCAGCGGTTCCTCTTTCCACTACAAGCAGCCACTAGTATTTAATCTGCAAATGCCCATGTTCTTCCCAAAGATGCGATTATCTAATAAAGGAAAATAGCTTCTATCCTTGCAGGTGTGTGGGCTTGTTGATTTAATAAGGCCCAGGCTGGTGATGTCGTTAGCTCGGTAACAACAGATAGGTTTGATTAGAGTTGGGAGAGTCCAGGGGTAGAGGAGGGGGTCCAGACCCCGTGAGCTGGGGCCCTGTTTATATCAAACAGCTCGGAGGTTCAGAAGAAACTTAGTTCAAACCAGTTAAGGCATTAAAAGGCCTGACCAAGCAAGCAGAGGCTGCAGGTGGCAGACAAGGCTATGCAGCCCTGCTGCTTGGATGGTAAGGAATCAGGTGGTTTTCTGCACCTGCCAGGTGGGTTTCAAGATGACTGGGCAGCAGCCTCAAAGCCCAGCCCAGCAAACATGGGAACACGGTCAGCAGGCAGGGTTCTGGGAGGGGCCAAGCCCCCCCCAGGGGGCCTGTCTGTAAATGGGCAAGAGAGCCCTGGGGCCGGGCCCCTCTCTGCCTGCGTTCCCTTGCTCTGATCCCAGCTTCCCCTAGAATGAAGACAAGAGGTGTGGGATCCGGAGGGACATCAGCCAGAGGGCGACAGAGAAACAAGCGAAGCTCTCACCTCTCTCCAGCTCAGTCACGCGCTGTAGCAGCGCGTTCAGGGCGCTCTCGGTCTTCTGCCGGTGAGCCGAGGTCTCGTTGTGGAGCTGGGACTTCTCGGCCTCCAGCTCTGCGACCTTGCGCAGCAGCTGCCTCTCCAGCTCCCCCAGCCGCCGCTGGAGCACCTCTCGAAAGTCGCCGGGCAACGCGGCATTCGACACGTTCGCTCGGAGCTGGTGCTTTGGGCGGGGGCAGACACCAAGGAGTATTAAGGCCAGTTAAAAATTGTGAAATGCAGCTCTGACGGCCTTGCCACAAAAGGGAGAAGCTTCCAAATTGGGAGCATTAAATCCATCGTGCCGGTGGCACAAGGGGGAGCATTTCACTGAGGCTGTGTGTGTGTGTGTGTGTGTGTGTGTGTGTGTGTGGTGTGGAAAGGATTTCAAAGTCACACAACAATTACTTTGCTGCCGTATTTGAAACTTACGAATCTCATTTCCCCCTCTCAGAAATCAGTGCTGCTCCTCTAATGCAACAGCCAACATTTTAACCAATATCTATCACTCTCAGGTAAAGACCAAACAGATGCTTTTTTTTTTTTTTAAGACTCCGTCAAATGGTACTCAGAGCCGATGCACTTTCATCTAGAAATGAAAATAGCCCCCGAGTTCCAGTGTGGCACAGAGGTGGCTGGCAGCGATGTCCCTGGAAAACGAGAGATCTAAAGCATGACTATTCTGGAGTCCAGAAATCTTTGCTTTTAATGCTGTTTCTAAACCCTTCCTGCCTATTTCTTTCACTCCTCTGTCTCTCTGCTGGCGGAAGAGGCCGCCTGCCGCTGCCCAGCCACGAGTCCTAGGCAAACTATTTATCCCTCTGAGTGGTCCAAATCGTAAAAGGCAGTTACTCTGCATCTGCCTCCCAGGACTGCTGCAAGGGCTGAACATATTTAGCGTTCCAAAAATATTAGCTGTTGTAACTCTTAATGAATCAAGGGATATTCAGCTGCTAGAAATACTGTATTTAACCATTATGCCACAGGAAATCCTTAAATAGTTTTGCAATAATTACCACCTTAATTGAAACCTAGCTTTGCTAATAAGTATTTTGGTACACATGTTTAACAGAAATGTCCACACTTCCACAAGGTGGAACATAAAGATGGAAATTAAATGAAGATTTCTCTCTCGAAGTTCCAAACTGGGTACACCTTCCAAGACAGAATGGAATAAAGTCCTTTCCCTTAAAGCAACAGGGCACCTTAGGGACGGCGCAGTTCGCGGGTAGACGTCTTTCAAGTTAACTAGGGTTCCTCCAAGGCGAGTCCTAGTGGCCGGTGACCCTCCAGCCCGTGCTCAGGTCCAGCCGAGATCGCACCCCCCCCCCCGGCCTCTGCCCACTCTGGACCACCCAGACCTGATTTATAAACGGGAACGCGGGATGCCAGGGGCCGCTGATCTCCTGCGGCAGCCTCAGGTCACCCGGCACAGCCTCCGGGAGATTTGCAAGAAGAGAGCAGGCCGTCCTGGTTCGGCTAGCGCGGACCTCGTTAAGTTCATGGCCGCCCAGTGGGCATAAGGGGTGCGGGGTGTATAACACGCAGTTAAGTCCCGAGAAGGATCGAGAACTCCCCCCGCTCCCGACCCCAAATCCAGCTCGTTCCCGCAGAGCCTCGAGGGCAGGACCACGCACCCCACCTCCAGGACCCCCGCGCCCCGCTACCTCGAGGCTCTCCAGACGGTCCTTGAGGGTCTGCAGCGAGCGGCTGAGCTGCTCCACCACCTGGCCCGGGTCCCGGGGCAGATCGCCCATGGTGTCCTTGCCCGCGGCGCCCCGGCCCGCCGCCTTGCCGCCCGCCAGCCCCTCGCAGCGCGCCAGCTTGCCCGTGAGCTCGCGGATGGCCTCGCGCTGGGCGCCCAGAGTCTCCTTCTGCTGCACGACGGTCTCGCGTAGCTGCAGCACCGCTGCCCGCAGCTCCTCCTCGGGGCTCAGCGCGCCGCCCTGCATGGGCATCGCGGGCAGCGGGCAGCCGGCCCGCGCCGCCTCCGGGGGCAGCGCCGTGCACACGAAGCGGCTGCCAGGCGTCGGGACGTCCTGAGCCGCGGCGGCCACGGCGAGCGCCACTCCGGCAGCCAGCAGCGCCAGCATCCCGCCGTCGCCGCGCTCACTCCAGCATCTGCGGGTGGGCGAGCGGGCGCCGTCGGGGCGCGCGGCTGGGGCGCCTCCTCCGCGGGCTGCGTCCGGAAACCGCTCTCGAAGGCAGCTGGACCCGGAGCCCAGGGAACCGCGGAACTACCCGCCGCGGCGCAGCCGCACACCCCGCCCCGCGCGGCGCTCTGGCCCGGCTCGGCCCGCGCGCCCTTTCTTAAGCTGGCGGGGGGAGGCGTGTGGGGGAGCGGCGCCGCGAGCTCTGATTGGTCCGTCCTGGCGCGCGTCACGCGGGGGGCGGGGCAGGGGTTTCCTCCCACCGCGCGCCCGCCCCGCACCCGGGTGCGAGCGCCGGCCTCGGCCCCCTTCCTCCCCCCGGGTAAAATAAATGCCCGGGGTGCCCTCGGGAGCTTCGGCCGGAGTGTCTAGGTGCCCCTCGGACCCACTCGAGGACGCGGACGTCTCGGGACGAGGAGAGGTTGAGAGCCCCCTGGTGCCCCCCGAGCCCCGGGAGAGGCTGCTGAGCTTCCGGTGCCGTGGGAGGTGTCGCTTAGCGTCGCCGCAGCCCCGGGGCTCGGGGTGGGGGTGACCCCCCACTTCCCCAGTGAGGAAAGTGAGGTGGAGCCCCGGGAGGGTCTCGAACCCACGGCTGCCGTCGCGAGCCGCCCCCAGCTGGCGTGGGCCGGCTGCCACCTCACCCTGAAGGCGGGAAGCTGACGCGCGAGCTTTCTTTCCCTGGACACACTCCACGTCTGCGTCCCCGTCCCCGCCTTGGAAAGAGCCTCCCGTCCTCGGGGACCGGAAACAGGCTCCGGATGCCGCTGCAAGGAGGGGATGCAGGCGCACGTGGCGTCGAACAAGAGGCCTGGAGTGGGGGCCAGGGTCCCACGGCCACTGGCAGAGCTCTCCCACGTGTGTCCAGCGACGGCCCACCCAGTGATGACCTTACGCAGTGAGACCTGGGCTGGATGGGGTCCATTCCCCCGCGGTCATCGTGATGGCGCCACAAAGCAAAACAGCGCCCCCCACCCATGTAGGTGGGGTGCCCTCACGTCCAGTTTCTCAGTCTGAGGCCCCTGTCCTCAGATTTTTGGAGAGAACAGACATGGACAGAAACCCCAACAGGCAGGAGCAAACCTTTCAAAATCGTGTCTGTGGCTGACAAACAAGTGCATAGAGGTTTGAATGCACAGCTGCAGACTGAGCTGGTTTCCTGCACATTACAGATGGAAATCCTTATGTTTTTTCTCTATGTTTTTAAGAAATCCAGTTGCAAGGTCATTAATCACATTATCCATTATACCAAAAGCAAATGGATTTGTCGCCTGGGCACAGAAGCTGAGGTTGATTCTGGAAACAAATTGTATCAAAATAAATGAAATTATTATGATAATATAAAGTAGGCTGCAGTGATTAATCTTCAGAAACCAAATTTTGACCTGCTTTGCACTTCAAACAATAGCTTCTGTTATGTAAATAGTGGGATTTTCAAGGACAATGTTGCTAAATTACAAGAAAAATTCTATTCATGGATACAAATTACAGACAGGAAGTCTGTTCTACATAACACCCAAGGCAGAGGACAATCGACCAGGTGGTGACGGTTCAGGTAAGAGCATCAGTTAGTGGGAAAAGTAGGGGTGGGGATGGGCACTGGGCTAAAATCTCTGTTGGTCTGCATCCCCAGCAGGTATGAGTTTCATGTTGTATACATGACCTTGAATAGACTCATTCCTCCTACTTCTTCCTTCAGCTCCTTGAAAACTCCAGAAGTCCAGATGAGCTCACACATACACAAACTGCAATAATAAAGGTAACGAAGTTGCAAAGCAGTTTATACAACTTACATTTTAGACGATGCCATAAGGCATTAAATCCAGACATGTTCAGAATTACCCAGGTAAGGATTTGACTTTCAGTTTTCACTCGCAGATTTGACTTTTTTCTGCTTTCACTCACAGACCTAGGTGGGTCTTCTTTGCATTCGACAGTAGAGTAGGAGAACCTATATTGTTCCATACATCCTCTCTTGGCACAGACCGATCCACTCATATTTGCAACTACTTGAAATAGAGGCCGTCTCCTTTCATAATTAAATCAAATCAAGGGTTTCCAGAATTCTAATTTCCTCCCGAACAAAGAAAGCAGTGTACAAGAAGACATAAAAATAACAAAGCACATGTCCCAAAATAATTACTCTTAAATTTGTCAAGAGAGATTCAGACGTGAGAAGTGATCAAGGACACTGCCAAAGCCCAGAAGGAAAGACTGAGGCATTTAAGGTGTTATTTTCTTTGAAAGCAGTATAATTAGAGGGCTCGGTTAACAGCATATATGCTATTTAGGGTTTTATTTTGTCTTCCTGATGGAGAGTAGGCTGGCTTAGGAACAAGGAGACCAAGTCCTGCAGCTCTGCCACTCGCTAAGTGGTTTGGGGCAACTCATTTCTCCTCTCTGGACATCAGTTTCCTGTGTATAATGGAATTAGAGTGGACTCTCCAAAGATCCTTCTGGCTGTGCTCAGGAGCTGGGAGTTTGAGCGAGAATCACTGTTCAGTGTGATGAAGGTTCCAGAACCTTGTGCTTTCTGTGTGTTCTATGAACCACCTGTCACCGAGGGTGAGGCAGGGTGTTCGAGTGTGTGGCAGGTCGACTTCCACATCCACAGATGCTGTGGCTGTGGCCGAAACCTGCTGTCCACAGCAGGAAATCTCACCCTTGCTTTCCTCCCAGCACAGCAACCTTGCCTCCCTGAGGGATCCTGCAGATCTGACTCACGCTCCCGATGAAGATGGCAATAGGCATGTCAGAGAGCAGGGCCCACAGTTTTTCCTGCACTTAATGTCCTGCAGGTCCGCAGCAGTGAATCAGCTCCACCTCGTCTCTTAGGGTAGCAATGCGGCAGCATAGTAACCACCCACTCATTCACTTTGTCTCCTGGCTCCCAGGTCAGCTGAGAGCCCCCTGTGGACAGAAACCATGTGCTGGGAATCCTGATGAGCTCATTCCGCCTCCATTTGATTGCCCCATCTGTTTGGTTCGCTTGCTCTTCTCACATGCATTTTTTATCTTGGTCTCCTGGGAAAAGTGCTGACTTCCACCATGGTGTCAGAGGATCCGACCTCATACTTTCTTACATTCCCTCCTGTCTTTCTCAGTGGCACTTAAAAAAGTCAAGAACGGGGTGCGTTGCATAAAAGAAACCAAGGACAGCTCCCTGCAAACGAGACGCAGGAACTGTCCTCGTTGCTGAGTGTCTATGGAACAACTAAAAGGGTGTGGTGTGGCCGTTTTGTTTGTTTGTTTGTTTTGTTTCGTTAGGATTCAGTGCAAATACAAAAGGGAATTTGGAGGCTCCAAGTGAATTTTTTTTCCACTAGACTGAACTGCACTAGAGTAGAAAGAGCTTGAACTTGGGAGTTTGGCAACTTTTGTTTCAATCCTAGTCTATAACTTGCCATTTGACCTTGAGAGGACAGCTTAACCTCTCAGACCCTCAATTTTCTCATATCTAACATCAGAGCTAAATTTATTATAAAGTATTATTGTTAGGCTTAAGTGAGAGAATGTCTGTGGACATGTTTAGCATACAGGAAGTTCACAATTGTCCCCTTCTTCCCTTTTTCTCCACTGAATTCAGAGCTAAATTATATTAAATTCTTTTTTAAAAAACGAAGTTAAACTTTTCCCTTTATTTTCTACAAAATCATTTGAAATTAAATAAAGAATGGATTCTTGAGGAAGCAAAGGCCAGCCTCTCTGGAGGAAAGGCAGGGGATGAGAATTTTAGAAAAACAGTACTGGTATCTCAGCAAACCAAAGTTATCCTACTTTGTGAGTCTTTTTTTTTTAAAGATAAACATTTTGGTTTTTAATTTTCATCAGAGGACTCAGTCAACCTGTTTTATGTCTACATTAACTTAGAATATATCACTAGACTGTGTACCCAGACCCCACTAAAAGATCTGTAGTTAGTCCTTCACATTTCAGAGATTCTGAGTTTGTATTGCAATGAGATTCCAATAGATATAATGCCCCCAAGTAAAAGCAAATGGTCTTTCTTTAGTGAATCTTGGTTCTTCCTGAGTAACACATTTCAGGCTTAATTTTGGGAGCATGTGACATGAGACATTGAGTTTTAGGAAGTGTCTCTGTACAATTATATGACCACATGTGGCTGGAAAGCTATAATTCCAGCCACACTTGAGGGGATTGGCTGTTCATATTACCCAACTTATTTCAACAAACCAAAAAAAAAGGCTTTTGGTAGCATCCTCTGATTGCAAGCAATAGAACAAGTTGCTGGATAGATCAGGTACAATATCTTAGTTCTGTTTTTAAAAGTAAAGGATAGGCTGGGGCTGGGAGAAGGCTGGAGGAAGGGACCTCATTAACTTGGCCTGCTTGGAGGAAATACTCTAAGAATGAAGTCTCCACTTCTTTATATTCAGAAACACTTAGAATACGCCTTACCTTTATACAAGTTACAAGTCGTGAACCTGGCCTGTGTCGCATAAAAACTTGTAACTTAATATCTCTGTATAGTTCAGGAACACAGGTAGCTTGCTTGAATCTTTAAAAGTGAGAGCTGGGGGAATTTTGAAGACTAGGAAATAGCCTTATAAAGGGCCCAGCTACAACGGAGGTTCTCTAATTCCCAGTGGAGGGCTCTTACCTCTGTGCCTCCCCTGAACTTAACCATGACACCCTTCTAAACGCTCAGCACTGTCAAAACCAGCTTTCCTTAAAATTCATGATTTTCCACACCAAATCCAATGATCGTTTTTCTGTAATTCTCCTGGACTTTGTGACAGCATTCAACATTGTTAGCTAATTACTAAAAATTTGCATGATTGGTTTCTGTGACATTGTATTCTTTTGGTTTTCTTTCTTGCTTTCTGGGTGTTTTTCTCCTTTCTTCTCTGGATCTTTCTTCATTGCCTACTTTCTCGGTGTCTGTGCCCAAAGTTGAGTACTCACAGCTTTCTCCTTTCTCCCACTACTCTCTCTACATCCCCAGTTTCATGCTCTGCGCTATGGTGTCTGTTAGCAACTCTACCGCCGATCTGTACCAAGCGCCAGTACCTAATAAATCAATTGTATGAAAGGCCTCTAACTCAATGTGCCCTCAACTAATATATTGTTCTCTTCCCCATCCCTCTTT